TACAAAATTCTACTATGGTAATAGGCGATGGGTTGGTAGGCTAGTGTGTTTGGTTACAATGCAGATGGTCCGGGTTCTATTCCTCAGAGTAGAATCATTTGCTCACTAGGGTGTTGAACTGTCGTTCTATAAAACAGAGGTGAATGTGTGTTTGAATGTGTTCATACCGTGTAGGGGTTGGGAGGTGGCGATATCACAGTGTCTAAACCTTATATCAATTTTTTTATAAAGTGACAAAGTCAGTAAGCATTCTATAACACCCGCACCCATTACTCACTCTTTGAACACAGCAGACATTTCAACAAGCCAATTTCCACTCATGCATCTCCACTTTTATAGACATGTTAATCATCGACCGACAGGCTGTACTTTTACTGCCGGCCAAAATTGAAAAAGAGTGTTTTTTCTATTCCCGCTGCCTTCAACTCGAACTCTCGCAACCTCAGAAAAATTGCTGACTAGGAGAAAAAATTAACTTACATCTACGCCCCTTATTCAAGAACTAAGTGGCGCTGAACGCACTGCAAAGGCACCAACTGTGACCCTACACAAATAGGTAGATTTTATTACGGCACTACATTGCTTTGAATCAAATTGTTAAATAACTTAGCAAAGGAATTAAGAAATGAATTTCATTACCCATTTTATGTAAGGTAAAGGTATATAAAACGGCTGTGAAACATAGGCCTGGCTGGCTCACGCACGCACTCACGCACGCATGCGCACGCGAACGTGTATAAAGCACAGTAATTAACTGGCTTCTACGAAGACCAATCCTCGTTTATCCAGTGTATTATTTCTTCATTCTGTCATTAGATATATTGTAGTATGGATAATCGAAGATGATCAAGACCAACAGGTAAATACTTTCAATACGTATAATAAATACATTACAACTAATAATATATGACCACTATTTATAAATAAAAGTGTACGAATAAATGGATACATTTCTGGTAACTGAGCTTTCTGAAAACAGCGGACGATGGTATTCATAAGCCACTTACCATACGGTGGTGGGTTGTAACTTTCATTTGATGTTGTAAATCCGTGCTCTTGATATAGAATTGATAAAGTAAGTCTTTGTTGTGACCCCACAATGCCGATACAGACATACGGGTATGTTAATCTTTAATACCATTGTTATACTATACTTGTATATTTGTAGATATACAATTCTTAATAGTTCTCATGAGAACTGGGGCTTATGTCCAAGTCTCCTGGGGGCACGGATGGCCCAGTTGTCTGAGGCGCCGCGATTCGCTGTGCAGAGTTGCGTCCCTTGGACACGCCAGAAACCTATGATTGTGGGTTCGAAACCCGGTTCGCCCCAATTATGTTTCTAGGTTTGTCAGCACCATACCCGTGCTCGTGGGTTTCACCGAAGTGGTAAACGTCTAAAACCTGCATCACTTCGGGCTTTCCTCCCACATTAAGCTGACACGCCGCGATATAACTGGAATACTGTTAAAAGCGGCGTTAAACCCAACTCACTCACTCACTCCAAGTCTCCTAAGGTGTCGCATTTCTTTGTGCTGAGCTGTGTCCCAAAGGCGTGTCAGAAACCTACGATCGTGGGTTCGAATCCCGATTCGCCCTGATTATGTTTCAAGGTTTGTCCCAACCTTACCTCTGCTTGTTGGTTTCACCAAAATGGTAAACGTCTAAGACCTGCATCACTTCGGGATTTCCTCCCACGTTAAGCTGACACGCAGGGATATAACTGAAATAGTCTTCAAAAGCGGCTTTAAACCCACCTAACTCAATCATGAGAAATAAGCGTGGAAACATGACTGTTGTTCCAAACTGACTGCCCACACATCGTTTATATATGTAAGAAATAAACGACGAGTGGGAGTTGTTTATCGTACAATAACACATTGCAGGTATATCTTATATCTCTTGTCCATGTATATAATAATGAAAAAAAATAAGAAAAAAAATGTTTAATACAATGTGCCCCTCATGGTTTATTTTCCCTGCAGTGTTTTATTGTACGATAAACAACTCACACTCGTCGTTGATTTCTTAACTATATGTATTTTTATATCACATATTAATCGGAGACTAAGTCGGAGACTCCCACCAGTCAGACCAGAGACCGTCAAATTTATTTAATGGTCTCTGCTCAGACATTGTCACTGGATATAAGGAGGCTCGATCACTGATACAGGTGATGCTGTTCCGTATAGAGTTAATCGTACGGTCATAATGGATGCTGGATGTGTTTAGCACCACAAGATTCCGAAGTTCTTTATAAATGCCTTAATAAGTATTAAACGCCCTCTCTATTGGGCTATATCTTATTCAAAGAATAATAAAGGAAGACAAAATAACTCATTTATTTAGTCAGATGGTCGGATTTCTGTGATAGCACCAGAAGGGTTTACGCCTTGAAAGATACAATCTTGGGACTGTTTAAGTCTGACTAGACCACCGCTCACACTGTCGACCTCTGATTTTCAGGTCCGGTCGACCTGTTAAGATCCGGGTGACAATAGGTCTTCAGCAACCCGTTCTTACCATAAAAGGCGACCATGATTGTCATAAGAGGTGACTAACGGGATTGGATGGTCAGATTCGCTGTCTTGGGTGATACATGCACGTGTATCCCAATTGCGTAGATCGATGCTCAAGACATCAATCATTGGATTGTCTGGTCCGGACTCGGTTTTTCACAGACCGCCGTCATAGAGCTGGAATATTGCTGAGTGCGGTGTTAAACAACAAACAAACAAAAACAATCCTAGTCAGGTCCGAATACACACCGACGTTATATAGCTGTACGATGTCTGTCAAACCCCATTCACAGCTCTGTCACTATCACATGGTAGATATCAATCTGCCCTTTGTTGTTTCACGTTTGGCATTGTGTCTACAGGGATCTTGTAAATCACGCTCCAAGTCTACACAGACATTGGTAACCGTGGCAACATCTACTTCACAGGTATCTACTCCTCTTTAAACCGGTATTATCAGTGAGCGTATGCACACGCTACTTTATGTACACACAGCGATATACCGTTAACTTGTCAACTGAAGTCTACATGTATATATAATGTCAAAATGAAAATAACGGTTTACAGTGATGATGTCATTAGTCTCTTTCTGCTTATAAAGGCTGGGCCAGGACCCAGCATGCCCTATAACTTGTAAGTGAAATGTTGAAAGTGTTAAATATCAACACATAACACCTTATCCATAGTTTCACAGTCGTAGCATTTAAACTGAAACTAATAGTGAACTAAACGTGAAGGTCCTAGTTAAGAATTGGTCTTCAGCAACCCATGCTTGTCGTAAGAGGCGACTAACGGTCTGGCCCGCTGACTTGGTCAATGCATGTCATCGTATCCCAACTGCGTGGATAGATGTTTATAATGTCAATCACTGGATTGGCTGGTCCAGGCTAGATTATTTACAGACCGCGGTCACAATACTGGAATATTGCTGAGTGCGGCGTTAAACAACAAACAAACTAACAGATACTCTAGTTTCACTTTAAATGTTGGGTTGATTTTTTAAACAGTTGTTTCTTATATTTACATACATTTTAAGTCACAACGCTGCTTCAAAAGCACGTTCACAACAGTAAAGAAAACACGATCTTGTTCACTTGACAAGTGTTGAGGTTCAACTGTTTACAGCTATTTTTACTGCTATAGACTAAAGTTTAGATAATTTGAAACACGTGTGACAGTACAAGTAGTATTCAGTTATAAACGAATGGTGGGAGTCTTCAAACTTATTAATAGTGTCAGAATAATATTATGTGAAAAAGATTGGATTTCCAAATAGAAAGTTGACTGAATTAGCGTTGGGCAAGGGCCCCTGAGTTGCTGTGCATACAGAAACAGTTGTTTTCTCGAAGCAATAGCTCGAGCTCAAACGTCAATCCCCATTCTTCAGCCCAAAGCCGAGGATATATTATCCTTTTCCGATAGGTCACCCCTGCCAAAGTGTTAAAGCCATACTATTGACCAAGACATGAATTCACTCTCAAGCATATTTTCACTATAATGTGTTTGTTGAAATTTATTATGATGTAATACTAAACGGGTTATTTTCACATAGTCGTGATGCAACAAATGCCCCAATTTGTCCACACTGTGAAAATAAATGTTATTGATTATCTATACACTGCCCTCTAAGCGTATGTTATTGCACACAGGCTTCCTGTCGTTGTTTTAATTATAGCTTCCATGGATAGTCTGTAAGATAAAAGGGTTTCGTTGAGGAAATCATAGGTAGCTAGGATCGTCACGTTTTCTCACTCGTAAATATTTTAACGTCAGTTATTGTCGTAATTGATATCAATTTCCATCTGAGATGTCTAAGTAGTGAAGTACTTCCCCCTCTCGAATACAGGAAATAACCCCTTCTCCTACAGCACGTGGTATTTACATTTGTATGAAATGATTAAATTGAATTCTCGATTTATGCAACACTAATCATGAAGTCGTGTTTCACTTAGGGAAAAGCGTATGCCAATATTTGTAAACCTTTTTAACAAAACACATCCGGTATAAAATTAATATTTTAATTTCCTTTTGAAATATCCTCAATATTTGCGTGTGTCGATTTAAAAAAATGTTCGTTTACATTTCTGTCTACAGATGGGATAAACTGTTTCTTTTTGCGTCACTTATTTGTCAAGGAATCGATTGAGAGTATTTACCGTTAAAAACATGAAAAATGCGTATCCTATGAATAATCATAATTATAACCTTGCTTTAACCAGTGTTTAAGATTCATTAATTTGATAAAAGTAAAATGCGACATATTCATAAAGAAATGAAAAAAATTACATTAATTACACTAAGACAAAAACAGACTTCGTTGTGCAAATGATTTTCAGATTGCATACTTCTCGCGATTACGTGGTTATTTGAAGTCGCTTCAAATACTATTTAACAGGTGCTTGTTAGAGTTACTTCCCCTAATCTGAAAGTTGCTTCTGATTGGTTGCTTCTCAAAGCGTTATTTAGCAACAAAATGGACGACGAATGTACAGGTGTTGGAATGTGACAAGTGCTCGATATCCTATTCACAGGTATGCATGTTCCACGAGGAAGGCAGACATTGAGAATTGATAGGATGAAGTTATATATATATTTTTGTTCATGTTTAATCTCATTCCAAAGATGACTGGACTCTTCATGTTAAAATAGGCTACCTATGTTTCAGACGATACCGGTGTTTACCAATGAAATTGCATTGCTGACAGATATCCTCCAATGCACTATAAATGCTTTGTTTAGATCAGAGTTGTATATAAGGCAGATAGGTAAACTACAGTTTCAAACGAGTGAAGTTAATGAACAGGGTTGTTATTCGGTATTATTATATTGTCATGCCATGGTTACTGTTATTGATGACATCAAACATTTCTTTCAGTTTAGCAACGGATAAATTATCTTCAAAGTTAATTAAATCCACCGCTGGTAAAATATGCAAACTGGGTGCTAGAAAGTCACCATGAATTATATGTTTACTTAGAACTTTCATATATTTAGTACAGTCATGCCAAAATAGGAGCATTATAGTATATTGGTCATACATACATACATACATACATACATACATACATACATACATACATATGTCAGTTATATCAATACACATACATACTAGTACACATCTATAATTTATAGATAGCTATTATAATGTTGCATCTTACAAAAATATATATTAGCTAAACATGATTATATTGTCGTATATGTTTGTTGTTTGCGAGATACGACTGAAACACTACTCGTTATTGTAAACTTAAGTATTTGTATATTTTATTTCTTCTGATAGACATCACATTTTTCATGTGATACCACTAGCATTCATGGCTTTGAAGATGGTCCTTAAACCTGACAACAGGTTTGATAGGAATGCACTTGAGATCGTGATGCCAGAATTAGTGGATATACACCGATATATTACTGGTACTGTGGTCAGTTGTGTAACAAGACAGTTACTGAATTTTTCAGCACAATGTTTAGGGTCAACAAAATTATCAGTGTACCCCAATTTATACTGAGAGGATGACCCATGATGAACTGGAGGCAGTTGTCCTAAGCTGGACTGTTCTTATTGTCTTCGACCGCCTCCATGGAATAGTGGTAAAGCTTCCCCCCGGAGAGCGGAAGGTCAAACCCCGGCCACGTCATACCAAACAACGTTAAAAGATTGTACAGTACTTATTGTTATCCTGCCTGCCACTTGGCATTAAGGGGCTAAAACAAGGACTGGTCGGCTCTAAGTCAGTATACTGTGTCTGTGTGGGGTATCCATGTTAAGCTGTTGTCAAACTTATAGTATCTAGGTTCAGACAGAGCAAGATGTTCTTTGCTTGTAAGTCAATTTTTAAACCACCAGCAATCTTCTCCCTTGGTAACAGTGATTTCCTGATCAATTCTGATGATAAGTTAGTGAGTTGTATTGTGATGATTGTTATGTGTCCGGTTTTTGCTGCCTCCGCTATACTGATAATTTATTGCTTGCTATTCATTCATGCCAATTGCCGTAAGTGCTGGCCTTAGTTTGATGTATACAGCGTTACCGGTAACATCACCAATATTCGACACATGAAATAAGGCATTGTTATGTATGGAAGCCTGCACTTACCATGAAAAAAATTACATCCAACAAAGTTGTAAATAAAATGATATATGTACAAGGCCTAAAATGTCGTTACAAACAATAAAGAAGTTGTTATACTGAAACATTTCCATAAAATTGTACTGAATATTTTTTTGTCATTTCAAACTATATGTCGACACAACTGATAAATTTGTATGTTACAGGCGGGGGGATCAGCATCACGTGTGACAATGGAGCCAGATCCGGATGAACAGATTCACCCAGGCTTGGAGTCTCTTGACTGGGGCAATGATTCTAAAGGTAATGTTTGGAACATCACAAGTTATTACTTACTGTAAAGGCGATGTTTCAGCATTGATCTTTAAACCATTGTCAAGCAACCGTTGTCGCCTTGCTTGACAACGGTATAAGGATCTATATTGATCTATATTAAAGTTGTTATCCATAAATTGTGTCTACTTTGTCGTCCATCAACTTCTCAGTAATGGCAATCAACCAATTCAAGTTATTACTTGTTCATCAGAATGAAAAGAAGTAATTTCTGTTTCATTTTGCAAAATATGAATTGAAAAGTATGGAGTTTTATTGAAGGTTTGTGATGATATTTGTTTAAATTTATGTATAACATTGTTTATGCAGGCAACAGTCTGTGAAAATAATCAGTGGCAGATTTCTATCAGACTTGCTGTCCTGTTACCCACAAAATATTTTCAAAGAACATAGGCTCATGGTAAACGATGTTACCATTTTTTGGCATGGATATTTATTGGTCTCCAGCAACCTGTCCTTTTCGTGAAAGGCAACCTTATGGAATCCTTTGCTTCCTTGGGTAATCCCATGTTGGAGGAGCTGTTGTCAATGGTGGAACTACCTCTAAGTTCAATCGGTAGCCGTAGCATAGTACGTTGAGTCTATTGCTGTAGGTACAACACCCTCTGCCAAGTACACCAAGCTGACAGAGCAGGCCAGGAAACTGATGCCGGCAGAGAAAGTATGTGCCATGTTCTGTGGAGGCAAGAAGTGCAAGTACTGCACCTACAACCAGTGGACCAAGGAGCAGATGGACATTGATGGAATATACTCCAACTGGCAAGTACCGTTAGGATTTTGTTGGGGAGGACAGTGAATTTCATCATCCAAAACTGACTCCCACAGGAGATACCACTTGGGTGAAATTGCATCACAATGCTTTGCAGACCATTGTGAGGTCATTGGTTACTATGACTTCACAATCAAATGACATCAGTAATGGCTCTGCTACTGAAGCTGTTAGCAGTACTTTTTACACTGAAGACACTGCTTATAACTGTCTACAAACTGAAAAAGTTGGAAGAATGCTGTTGGATGATAAATATAATCTCACCCGATATATTTGATATCAAAAGACACTCGGGTGAGATTCTCTATTTGTTTCTGAAGTCAGGTGGGAGGGCCACGAGAACCCAATTGTCAAAGGCTCCGCAATTCGCTGTGCAGAGTTGTGTCCTTGGGCACACCAGAAACCTGTGATTGTGGGTTCGAATCCTGGTTTGACTGAAGGGCAGTCAGGTGAACAGGTCATATAAGCTCACAATGCACAGGATTACAGTGTGTGACTCTTTTGTTGGGGTGGTGACCATGGTGATGCTGGGATGTGTATTTGGGTGAATTGTTTTTAGAAGCTGGAAACTTTGTTCTAGCACGTTTCCACATAATGATCGAAAGAAGGAAGAAATGCATAGTGTGAGATTGATGATTATGTGAATATTGAAGTTAATGTAAAGTTTACAACTTCAAGGGACTTCCTGTTATATGATGGGGTATGTTTGCTTCAGGGTGACCGACAAGATACTGGCCATGGCTAGGCCTACCAACATGGCCATTAAGGAGAAGAAACTACTGGATGCATTTGAAGAGTAAGAACATGGAGTGGTACTGATACTTGGGCCCAGAGTTGGGCACTGAATCAAGTAAATGTAACACGTTACTGTCTGTGATGACTGCAGCCGTATTCAAGCAATGATGTACAGTTATCCACTACTACTACTATTACTACTGCTGCTGCTGCTGCTACTACTACTGATGGCGATAATAATAATAACAACAATAACAATGATTGGGAGGTCATCTCCCTGAGGCAAGGGCGTAAACTATGATGGTCCAATTTCCACACTTGCCGAACTAGGCTGGAATTTCCAGGATCGATTGTAGCACCACCAGTGGTTGTTACGAGTTATGTCCCTTCTATGCCTGCACGTTGAATTCCATGTTGTTGCAAACGAGAAAGTTAGTTCGTTACGTGATTTTGATTGGACTATGCATGACTCACTAGTCCAGCCAAAGTGTAGCTCTGGAATTCCAGTCTAGTTGGGCAAGGGTGGAAACTGGATTTTATAGTCAGTTATCTCCCTTGCATGGGAAGATGATGGGAGGTAAACAACTTTCTTTAAATATTTTCAATAACATATTTGATACATGCAATATTATCAGGTCTGGATTCAGAGTTTGGAACCTCTATATTGAAAACAGAGTTGGTTTGTCTCCCAGTAACATGTTAAGACAGGGTTTTCATGTATTTGCTGACTTTAGTCAGTGAACAATATGTTGGGTGATCATTTGACTGATATATGGTATGCTGGATTTAGCAAAAATAGTGACAGACTAAGGCTAATAACCCAAATGAAAAAAGCAAATGACAGTTGAAAGACTTGAAAAAGGCTTTGAATTTTAGTGTCTCATATCTCAGTCCTGGCAACTCTAAATATGACCAGTCGTCCCAACTTTGAACAAATAAAGAAACGTATGAACATCCTGTTCAATGCGGTGTACATTTATGGCTGACAAGTTCAATGACGTCATCTCTGAAGTAACTTAGTTTGAACTAAATGTCATTTACACTAAATTAAGTCACAATTTGTTTTTCCCTCCTAATATTTCACTTGTTTAAGACAGTCACTACAAATAGATATTTAATCTAATTAACTTTAAGCAAAGTGAAATGTTACTTCGTTGCACTAAATAAAGACAAGGGGAAGCCCAGATGACTTTGTTAGAACATGTTTTGTTCAACAGCAAAGATTTATGAAATGCTCTATTTGCCAGTACACAGGCACTGACAGTCACATGCAATACCTGTCCAAGCCTAATTTTACCGGTAAAGAGGAACACTGTGCCTGTGCTCGTGGGTTTCACCAAGTGGTAAACGTCTGAGCTTCCTCCCACGTTAAATTCACACGCCGCTGTATAACTGGAATATCGTTCAAAGTGGCATTACACCCAACTCACTCACTCATTAGACTGAACTGAATTTTACTTGACTCGGGCTTCAGTCTAGTGGTTAAAGACTGCTATTATGACATCATTATCATAATAATGTTCTCCAGCAGGAAGTGCAAGCATTGTCAGCGGTAGAAACTGACCATTTTAGTCCACTAGTCCTTATATACATATAGCAAAACCGTTTAAAAAGTTCATTTCTACTAGTCCTTATAATACCTTACCTTTTGGGCAGTTTGGCAAGAACTACAGGACTAGTGCCAATTTCTAACACTTATTGTAGTTGGGAAAGACATGACATCACATTGCTTGATACAGTTCGGCCAAAAGTCTAGCTGGGTTGCTGTTACTGAATTTCACAATACATTCTCTAAGTTGTTGTTGTCTAATTTTGTGCCTGAAATATATTGCCACACTTGCTTATATAATATAGGAACAGCAGCACAGTATTTAGCATTATTCTGAAGTAAGACAGTGTTACTGTTTACCGGTAATTACCAGTCTTTTACCGGTAAATTTAGGCTTGGACTGGTAATTCAGGCGACTGCCAGTCCGTCTGGACCGGCAAATAAAGATCCTTATAAATCTTGTTGTTGAACAAAACATCAATGATATTCATAGAAATATATTTTTTTAAAGAAGTCAGCTTGTCTGTTACCATCAGGTCATCCCCTATTTTTGTGTGTGCAAGGAATAACATTTCTCTTTGCTTCGAGGTTAAATATCCATTTGTAGTGACTTTGTCTAAAATTATAAAAAAAAGATGGATGAAGTTATGTGACTGAAGTTTGTGTGAGATGACTCATTGCACTGAACATGATGTTCAAAGAATTAAAACCAGCTAATTTTCATTTTTATTTGTTGAAAGTTGGGAATTAGTGGGGACTGGTAATTTTTAGAGTTGCCAGTCAACTAGGACTGGCAGTTTCAAAAGCCAGTGGGAACACTGTAAGATCAGTATTTACGATTACTTCTAGGGTGGTATGGGGGGGCACGGGTGGCCCAGTCGTCTAAGGCGCCGCGATTCGCTGTGCAGAGTTGCGTCCCTTGGGCACGCCAGAAACCTATGATTGTGGGTTCGAATCCCGGTTCGCCCTAATTATGTTTCTAGGTTTGTCAGCACCATACCCGTGCTCGTGGGTTTCACCGAAGTGGTAAACGTCTTAGACCTGCATCACTTCGGGCTTTCCTCCCACATTAAGCTGACACGCCGTGATATAACTGGAATAATGTTAAAAGCGGCATTAAACCCAACTCACTCACTCACTCTAGGGTGGTATGTGAATATGGTGAAGGAAGGGATGTCATCAACAACCAAATCCTAGCCTAATGTAGATTTGATACTGCTGGCGGACCATTCATGTGCAGGATTCTAGTTTGTCGTGGTAGAATGAAGCCTGTGTCTTCCCCTGTTTTACAGTGCAGGTATCAAGACAGTGATCAACCTGCAGATGCCTGGGGAGCACGCGTCTTGTGGTGAGGGCTTGGAGAAGAGTGGCTTCTCCTACGACCCACAACAACTCATGGAGAAAGGAAGTAAGCAGTCATTTGTATTCCGGTGTCTTGATAGGCTTGTGTAGTTACCAGGTCCCCGTTTCACAAAGTGATCTCTGCGCTGAGATGATTGTAACTCCCATACTTTGACATAGAGACTTACGACAGTCGTAACGCTAGGACCATTAATGGAATTGGTCTTCAGCAACCCCTATGGGGATTCTGGGTAAGAGTAGGTCCCTAGCAACCTGTGCTGATCATAAGAGGCGACTAAATGGATCGGGTGGTCAGACTCGGTGACTTGGTGTCCTCCCCCGACGGTGTGGATCGCTGCTCACAATATCGACCACTGGTTTGTCTGTTCCAAATGTGATTATTTACAGGCTTCTATACAGTGTGGCGTTAAACAGGAAACAAACAAAGAACAACAAAGTTACCAGGATCTTGGATAGTTACATCAAGAAGTTTGAATCTACCTGTATTAGAACAGGTCCTATTAACCTATACTTGTTATACAAGGCGACTGTATAGATAAGGTGGTTAGACTCAGTGACTTGGTTGATTGGGTGTCATCTTAGCATGATTGTGTATGATGTTACTCATAGTATCAATCACTGGTCTATCTGGTCTGGCTCGTTTAATTACAGACTGTCATCATGGTTGGAATATTGCGAAGTGCATCATTAAATAAATAAACTAGTTCATGTAGAAAGCTTTAGATACATTGTAGCAGTGTTCAGCATGTTAAAGATGAATGTCATAATTGTACATTTAGCAATGACTGTTTAGGGGTCCTCAAACTCAATAATATACCAGTAAAACCATTAAGATTTGATGTCCCTCTTGATTTATAACGTGTTTGTTTGTTGTTTAACGCTGCACTGTTTTACAGCATGAGTTAGTTTATAACATGAGTTAGTGGGTTTCAATCTTGCACCTGATTGAGGTAATTAAGACCTTTTTCCGAAAGAGAAAAACAATGAATGGTTTCTAAGGTGATGACTACGACCTAGACTATGACTCCACTCTGATAGGAGTGTTTTTGAGTGTTCAAGACTACCAATAAGTTGTCCATATTTTCAGTATTTTTCTGTTTACGTAGTCTCATGGCAAGAGGACTTAGGTGTGCTATTTTAGAAATTCTTATGTATTATTAATACAGTTTTCCTGATAGATGAAGACAGATCTAGGTTAACATGGTTAACCTGTTTAAACTTCTTATTTTAAGAAAATGTTTGCCAGCTGCTGTTTATCAGCATCAATGTACCCCATGAAGATCCACGTTCGAATTGGTCTTCAGCAACCCATGCTTGTCGTACGAGGTGACAAACAGGATCAGATGGCCAGGCTGACTACTCTGATGCATGTCATTGTATCCCAGTTGTGTAGAAATCTCATGTCAGTCACTGGATTGTCTGGTCCAGACTCAATTATTTACAGGTCGCCGTCATAAAGCTCTAATATTTCTGAGTGCGGCGTTTAACAAACAAACCGTCATTGATGTATTTGCTTTTGTAATGATGGTCATGGTAAATGGTGAACGAATATTATGAATTATGATTATGTGGACAAATGTTTCTGTTTTTCAGTTTTCTTCTACAATTTTGGTTGGTAAGTATTTTCTGGGAATTGAAAAATATGTTTGAAAAAATTTATGAAGGCAGATTTATGTTTTATTAATGAGGATTTTGAACTAATTTAAGATAGCATAGCCTTATAAAATCAAGAGGTGGGGTAGGATGTTCCAGTTGTCTTAAGCACTGCAGAGTTATGTCCCTTAGCCAGGCATGACAAACCTATGAGTGTGGCTTCAAATCCTGGTGCATCCTGATCATGTTTCGTGGTTTATCAGCACCATACTTGTGCTTTGGGGTTTCACTGAATTTGTAAATCGCTTCAGGCTTTCATATGACTTCTGGCAGACATGATGCTGTGATATTTCTGAGATGCTGTTGAAAGCAGTGTTAAGCCAAACTCACTCATTGAAGCAGTATTGTATAAACTGTTGTTCAAATGCCATGAGGGGTGCTTGGCGAGATTAGTGGTTAGAGTGTTCGCTCGTCACGCCGAAGACCCGGGTTTGATTCCTGACTTGGGTACAATTTGTGAAGCCCATTTATGGTGTCCCCCGCCATGATATTGCTGGAACATTGCTAAAAAGGGGTGTAAAATCAAACTCACTCACTCACTCAAATGCCCTAATCTGGAATGTTATATTGACCTTACCGACAAGGCTCTGTTATTTGTTTCAGGAATGACTTCGGTGTGGCGCCAATGAGCACCCTCCTGGATGTTGCAAAAGTGATGCAGTTTGCTCTGTCTGATGGCAAGGTCGCTGTCCACTGCCACGCTGGCCTTGGTGAGCAAGTCATTGCAAGTACATGTATTTCAGACCGCCTCCGTGGTCTAGTGGTAGAGCGTCCACCCGGAGAGAGGAATGTCCGGGGTTCGATACCTGGCCATGTCATACCAAAAGACGTTAAAAGATGGTACTTGTTGTTACCCTGTCTGGCGCTCGGCATTAAGGGGCTAAAACAAGGACTGGTAGGCTCGGAGTCAGTATACTGTGTCTGAGTGGGGTATTCATGTTAAAATTGCGGCATGGTATCTCACTGAGCTAGCACTATAAATCAGCATCAGTCCGGACTAGTACAATCAGCCACCCACACACACGTGCATGCAAGTCGCTATATAAGTGCAATAATCTTGGACGCGACGTTAAAGCCTATTTCACCTCACATCACCACATGTCTTTCAGAACCGAGTGTATGTCTGAAAGATGGGGACAAAAATGGCGCCTGTGGAAAGTTATTGCATAGTATTGCTAATCACAACCTTTTGGCAGTGTCACCATGGTTACCATGTGTTTTGTTTGTGCAGGTAGGACAGGACTGATGATTGCATGTTTTCATGGTTACCATGTGTTTTGTTTGTGCAGACAGGACAGGATTGATGATTGGGTGTTAGCGTGGTAACAGTGTGTTTTGTTTGTGCATATAGGACAGGACTGATGATTGCGTGTTGTCATGGTTACCATGTGTTTTGTTTGTGCAGACAGGACAGGATAGATGATTGGGTGTTACCGTGGTAACAATGTGTTTTGTTTGTGCAGATAGGACAGGACTGATGATTATTGGGTGTTACCGTGGTAACAATGTGTTTTGTTTGTTCAGGTAGGACAGGACTGATTATTGGATGTTACCATGGTTACCGTGGTTTCAATGTGTTTTGTTTGTGCAGGTAGGACAGGACTGATGATTGCGTGTTACCTGGTGTTCACCAACAGAGAGCTGTCGACAGATGCCGTCCAGTATGTTCGATCCCGAAGGTACAGTAGTCAGTCCAGACCCTTGTTTCTTACAAGGCTGCAGTACACCCAGAAGACAACAAACCACGACCTGATGGTTGTGCCAGTTTGCCCGATGTTGTGATGTGTGCTCATGCTCTCGAACATTGTTTCATCTGACCCCCTTACTTCTGGGTAGTCAGGGAGTGTGTGGGATCCTTGTCAGAACAGGCGTACCAATGCTTGTCAAACAAGTTGATAAACATTAGTCCAGGTGACCTGGCTGATTGTGATTCGTCATCCCGTAAGGTGTCCATTGTTGGCCTGAGTTGATTAATTAGAGGCTACCATAATCATGGAGTCAGTATTAAGGGGCTAAAACCAGGTCTGGTCGGCTCAGGGGCAGTTTACAGTGTCTGAGTGGGGTATCCATGCTAAACTGTGGCATGGTATCTCAGTGGGTAAGCACCATAAAAGCTGCATTAATCTTGACTTGTACAAACAGCCACATGTGGATGTCACTCTATAAGTGAAATAACTTTGAATGTGTTATCAAGCTCAATTTCTCCTCAGCATGCATATTCACTGATATTGTTTGATTATGATCTTCATGAATACGAATAATATTTGTGAGATGCTAAGCCCAAATTGAAGAATAAGGAAGAATAAACTATAAGTGCTGTTTTCATCTTACAATGTCACATTCTAATCTGTCCAATAGGCCCAACTCTGTACAGACTGGGGAACAAGTCAGGGCTGTTGCTGAATTTCAAGAGTACCTGAAGCCCTTCAGGATAATCTTCACATCGAAGTAAACATTTAATCCACTCGTAACATTTTCTTTCAGTTGTGTACATGCTGTATATGATTCATCATTACCAGGGCCCTGTTCCACAAAGCTATCTTAGCACTATGACAGACGTAGGTCTATGTTAAAGAATGGGAGTTACAATCACCTTAGTGCTACGACAGTCGTAGGTCTATGTTAAATTATGGGAGTTATGATCGCCTTAGTGCTACGACAGTCGTAGGTCTATGTTAAAGTATGGGAGTTACGATCACCTTAGCGCAACAGCAGTTGTAGGTCTATGATAAAGTATTGGAGTAACGATCACCTTAGCGCAACAGCAGTTGTAGGTCTATGATAAAGTATGGGAGTTATGATCACCTTAGCGCTACGACAGTCGTAGGTCCATGTTCATGTATGGGAGTTACTATCACCTTAGCGCAACAACAGTCGTACGTCTATGTTAAGTATGGGAATTACGATCACCTTAGCGCAACAGCAGTTGTAGGTCTATGATAAAGTATTGGAGTAACGATCACCTTAGCGCAACAGCAGTTGTAGGTCTATGATAAAGTATGGGAGTTATGATCACCTTAGCGCTACGACAGTCGTAGGTCCATGTTCATGTATGGGAGTTACTATCACCTTAGCGCAACAACAGTCGTACGTCTATGTTAAGTATGGGAATTACGATCACCTTAGCGCTATGACAATCGTAGGTCTATGTTAAGGTATGGGAGTTACGATCACCTTTGCGTTACGACAGTCATAGGTCTATGTTAAAGTATGGGAGTTACGATCACCTTAGCGCTACGAGAGTTGTAGGTCTATGTTAATGTATGGGATTTACTTTCACTTTAGCGCTACGAGAGTCGTAGGTCTATGTTAATGTATGGGAAGTATGATTACCTTAGCGCTACAACAGTCGTAGGTCTATGTTAAGGTCTGGGAGTTACAATCATCTAAGCAATTTGAGAGTCGTAGGTCTATGTTAAGGTATGGGATTTACGATCATCTTAGAGCTATGACAGTCGTAGGTGTATGTTAAAGTATGGGTGTTACAATCACCTTAGTGCTACAACAGTCGTGGCTCATGTTAAAGTATGGGAGTTACAATCACCTTAGTGCTACAACAGTCGTGGGTCTGTGTTAAAGTATGGGAGTTACGATCACCTTAGTCTATGACAGGCGTAGGTGTATGTTAAAGTATGGGAGTTACAATTACCTTAGTGCTACAACAGTCGTAGGTGTATGTTAAAGTATGGGTGTTACAATCACCTTAGTGCTACAACAGTCGTAGGTGTATGTTAAAGTATTGGAGTTACAATCACCTTAGTGCTACAACAGTCGTGGGTCTATGTTAAAGTATGGGAGTTACGATCACCTTAGTGCTATGACAGGCATTGATCTATGTTAAGGAATGGAAGCTCCAATCACCTTGGCGCTATGACAGTCGTAGATCTGTGTTAAAGTATGGGAGTTATGATCACCTTAGTGCTACAACAGTCATAGATCTGTGTTAAAGTATGCGAGTTATGATCACCTTAGCACTAAAATCATGTTGTGAAATGGGACCCTGGACATCTTTCATGTTGAGCTCATTGATGTGGTGCCATTACACAATCAAACAGTATTGCCATCCTTTTTGTAATGTTTAGTTACTCTCACAAATTACATGTATTTCTTACAGTTTCCAGTCAGTATTACCAGGTGATAACACAGTATGCAGAGGTTCAGTTGTTTAAGGTGCTGCAATTCGCTGTGCAGAGTTGCATCCCTTGCGCACACCAGAAACCTATGAACGTTGGTTTGAATCCTGGTTCGCCCCAATCATGTTTCTAAGTTTGTCAGCTATATAACCATGCTCGTTGGTTTCACCAAAGGGGTAAATGTCTGAGAACTGCATCACTGAGGGCTCTCCTCCCACATCTAGCACCATTTAGTACAAACTTGTCTTATTTGGATGGAAAGAACATACAAACCGCATGTTCTCCAAATGTCTGCTTCTTATTTATCAACTCTTGGGCATGTTGGACTAAGCACGGATGAAAAACTTGCTCCTCTTAACATGGTAAAGATATTAAAGCCCATATTTACTAACTGTTCACTGCTCTTGCAAAGGCTGAAAAGATGGAATGCTTGTTCTTTATCACAATCTTTCAACACTTTGTTTTCAAATAACTTTGCAAATCTTATAGATCCAGAGGTACCTCACCCATAACTCATCCTTTACTCCTCTGTGATCACCCCAAAATGACTAACCTTGCATAGTATATGATTATGTCATGTGTAAAACTTGAAAAAACAGCCATAGTAAGATCAGACTCTACTCCACCTCAGCATGCAGTATCACACATGTGTATTTACCTATTTCCTTCCAGAGATCCTGATGCTCATGAGTTCTCGCTGCGCCAGTTTCTTAATCGTCAGCAACATATACTACACGGGTTTGAAGGCAAGAAACTCAAGTACATTCCTAAAGTAGGTTCAATATAATTATACGAGCAATTTATTTTACGTTTCCATAAACTGTTCACTGAGAGCAGCTTTTGCCCACTTACGACCCCAGCGACCATGTTGCTAGGCTGACATCATAGGGCAGTGAACTGCTGGTATATCTTGAATAAAGTTTCACAGATTTAATACATAGGATATTGTGACATGTTTATATACTTTGAGTAGCTGAATTAATGGTAGGCATGCCTATACTTTATTTATGGAGGTTCAAATGTTAAAAACGGTGACCGCACTTTATGTTAAGCAACTTGACATTTAAATGTTGCCGAGTTGTATCCCTTTGTTGTATAAGGATCTGCTTAGCATGGGTTTGAGACCCAGAATCACACTGATTATGACCCTTCTTTGTGGCACAATACTTATCCCGTGGCATGCTTGTTTGTTTCCCGTAAATGTATGACCTTGGTCAATTGAGGCTTTCCCGCCAAATTATAGATAGAGGATGAAGATAAATCCCTTAGACCAATGAAGAACAAAGCGTGGTTTATTTCACGATACAACATTGATTTTTTATGATGTCATTTCGAACATGTGCACGCAACTTAATGACGTCGTAAATAGGACGATTTGTTTTTGAGAGGGAAGCTTTTAGTGTCTTGTTCCCCAAAGATGTAACTGGGCAATGTTGATAAAAGCAATAGCCAAATGATCTCTTCCAAAAGTGGGAGATATATGACATACAGTATTGGAAGCAAAGGTACAGATAATCGACGTGAAATTTTTTAGACTATTGCGGAAAGACCAAATTTAAGCCCCCTGTTCATAACATGGACTTGTCCGACATTGCCTCAGTCGGATTCTATTCAGGGAGTCATCATGATTTTAATACTGGTAAATATTTTGAAAGCGTGTACATTCACTAACATCCTCAAAAAGGCTGTACGTAATGTTGGTATCTCAAAGAGAAATAAATTACTTGTGGCTGTTGTTGATCGAACAATAAACAACTCTTACTCTTTGGTTATTTCTTATATATAATGGCATAGCTGTGAGAACAAAGGGGGAGGAGGAGCTGAGGCCGATCTCTACTGCTCTTACAAGTGTTACTTTTTATTCAGGTTAAGTACTGTCACTTATGGATTGGGAAGCTTGGTGATTGATTATGTGTCACTTTACCCCGAAAGTATGGATTGTTGCTCACGATACCAATCCGTCTGGTCCAGACCCGATTGTTTACTCACCACTGACATATAGGAATATTTTAACTACAGGAACATTTTGGTTTCATCCCATACTGGTAACATGTTTCTTTGAGAGGTAGGGGCGGTCGGGTAGCCTAGTGGTTAAAGCGTTCCCTCGTCACGCCGAAGACCCAGGTTCGATTCCCGACATGGGTACAATGTGTGAAGCCCATTTCTGGTGTCCCCCGACGTGAAATTGCTGGAATATTGCTAAAAGCCGCGTAAAACCATACTCACTCACTCTTTGAGAGGCATTTAGAAGTTGCTTGTTATTGCCAGAACATTAGGAATTCAGGGAATAACTATTTATGAAAGTTGAAATTGATAAATCATACGTTTTACACAAGTAGTCTGGCCACAAGCTGCTTCAGTAATCTTGATATTCTAACCCTGTTTCTTCCATTGGAAGGGTTGGTCCGAGCTTCTGTTCTTGTGTTTTGCCACTTAGCGGTACAGTTAACAAGGATCATAGAAAGAATCTTTCTTTCTGTAACCTTGACATGCTAGGCATGGTATAGAAGCCTTGAAAACATAGGGGCGGTCGGGTAGCCTAGTGGTTAAGCGTTCCCTCGTCACGCCGAAGACCCAGGTTCGATTCCCGACATGGGTACAATGTGTGAAGCCCATTTATGGTGTCCCCCGCCGTGAAATTGCTGGAATATTGCTAAAAGCGGCGTAAAACCATACTCACTCACTCACTCACTTTTTGAGAGGCATTTAGAAGTTGCTTGTTATTGCAGATCGTGTACGTGTGTTGTGAACGATTGCTGGAGATTGCCTCAAAGGGTAACTCTCTACAGAAGACCAGGAGTACGTTGTCCATGTCAGATGTACAGTCCGACATACTTAAAAGAACAATTAGTGCCAATTCCCTTGCAAAGACAAATTCGCAGATATCTGTTCGTTCAAGTGAAAATGCCACGACTGCTGAAAATATATCAGAGACTGCCCAGAGTTTTGAAGATTTAAAACATAAAGATTTTAAAGAAGTGTTAGAGAATAATAGCAAAGAAAATAGTAAAGGGCATAAGAAGAAAGGTGCTAACAACAAAAAATACGACGATTGTGTCGCAGACAGTGAAAAAGATATTGAGTCCCCCCACTCAGAGGGAACACTGTCAGGGGCAGATAACTCTGTCGATGATCAGACTTTGGAAGCTTTGGATAGTGTGAGTATGTCGGGCCGTAGTGCTGACTCTGGATCAAGCAAGAGTTACTTGTCAACAAGCCCCCATGGGTCGTCTCCCGATGATCCGTCAGTCTTGATATTGGAGGCCTTCATCGAGACAGACTATTCAGATGTTGTGCTGAAGAAGGTGGCTGATTTTGAGGTTTGTAGTTGTCTTCTGTGAAGTCTGTTTCATTATTTGAACAGGAATATATGAAATGTAAGAACACTGAAGGAGAATCATTTCAAGACATCCATCATCCAAGAAGGGGCACGGGTAGCCCAGTCGTCTAAGGCGCCGTAATTCGCTGTGCAGAGTTGCGTCCCTTGGGCATGCCAGAAACCTATGATTGTGGTTTCGAATACCAGTTCGTGCCGATTATGTTTCTAGGTTTGTCAGCACAATACCAATGCTCGTGGGTTTCACCGAAGTGAGACCTGCATCACCCCGGGTTTTCCTCCCACATTAAGCTGACACGCCGTGATCTAACTGGAATACTGTTAAAAGCAGCGTAAAACCAAACTCACACATCACTCTATCATCCCAGCATGTATATACCATGAATTGCAAGGGATCAGTGACTTACAACAACTTGACCAAAGCTCAAGGCCCTGTTACACCAAGCGATCTTAGTGCGACGACTATCATGAGCGTTTGTTAAAGTATTAGAGTTATGATTGCCTTAGCAGTAACATAGCTTTTTGAAACAGGGCCCCGGTCTTGTGATCTTTTGGTTAATAATCCATATAGTAACACTAAAATCTACTGGAAATGATGGCATTTTCGTGCTGTAAGCTCAGATGTTTTTGGCACAGAGTGTTTCAGATAAGATTAGTTTTTAGGCGAGTTAAACATTATTCCCAGGCAAGTAAAATGTCTTTCAGGCAAATAAACATAACTAATAACAGTAACCAGTCCATACAAACCCAGAGCAAAGCATAAAGATATTTAGCATCATTTGAATTAGACAATGTTGCGTTACCATGTTTAATTTGCCACCTCCATGGTGTAGTAGTGGATAGAATGCCAGAGCGGTGAGCAGAAGGTCGGTGGTTTGATCCGTGGCCATGTCATACCAAATGATGGTAAAAGATGGTACTTGTTGGTACTCTACAGACAGACAGGCAGACAGATACGTTGCTATGTCAACAGAAAAATCGTAGGCACGACGTTAAACCCCATTCTACCATGAATTTGGAATTTACTCGATTCTGATTGGTCAATCAGAGGCTATTTAATCACAATAAACCCCCTCTGATTGAAACAGCTGGTTTGACGACCGCATCACCGCGGAAGCTAATATTCATAGAATAGTACTTTTTTCAGCCATTGTCGGTAGGCATATTTAAATAATTATATCTACAATTACACTGAACTCAACCCATGCCGCTTCACTCAGTATATTTGCTAACACCAAAGAGTTCGCGTTTTATTTAGTCATGGTAGAATGGAGATAAACATACTGTGTTTTCAATGTAGAGCTAGGTTACCTGTAGATTTAACCGCGCTAAATTTAACATTTGAAACCTCACGCTGCGCGTTCGGTTCCAAATTCAATTTAGCGGGGTTAAATCTACAGGTAACCTAGCTCTACATTGAAAACACAGTATGTTTATCTCCTAATTTAACCATATTCAGTTTACACCTCTTTTCAATCACATTGCCATAGTGTCATAGAATGTCCTTATACTTTGCAGTGGGCGAGCTGTTGGATTTTTGTGGTGAATAGTCATAGCTTGAACATATGCATGTGTAACGAGTGGTCTGTCTTACAGGAAGCTTTGAACCAGACTGATGAAGCATGGAGTGTGATAGCTCAGGAGCAGGATCCTGTCGTCCTCAGTCTCCTCATGTGGGAGTGGCTGGACCAGCTGAGTGTAAGTAGCAGGACTTGGTCGTCCTCTGTCTCCTCATGTGGGAGTGGCTGGACCAGCTGAGTGTAAGTAGCAGGACTTGGTCGTCCTCAGTCTCCTCATGTGGGAGTGGCTGGACCAGGTCAGTGTAAGTAGCAGGATTTGGTGGTCCTCAGTCTCCTCATGTGAGAGTGGCTGGACCAGCTGAGTGTAAGTAGCAGGACTTGGTCGTCCTCTGTCTCCTCATGTGGGAGATTGACAACCCACTCCAAACATTAGACTCAGCCCATGCGCGTTCTCTCATTATCCACGCTGACACCAAGCCTCCGAGTTTTAGACTTTTGTCGACTCATGTTGATGTATTTGATATCAAAAGACACTGGTGAGATTCTCTGTGTGACTTGTTTCAGGAGCCTGCTCTGTCAGCTCAGGACTTGCTGACCCTGATGGGCAGCGAGGAGCCCCCACTGGATACCCTGTTAAAGTTGGAGAAGGTGAGACTTCTTCCTGTTTATGTCAACTGCCATTGTCTCCCTTGAGAAACTACTAACATCTAATAACATGATGGTTGTGTGGTGGGACATTTCAAATATATGTCACCCGTAACTTTTGGCTAAAAAAACAAATTGGTTTGGTATCCAATGATGGCCATGTTTGGTGTTTTGTGTCATTTCATTCTTTCTTGATTTTGTTTGTTTTGACATTGATGGCCCAGTGGTGAAATCAACACAGTTTGCTGTGTAGAGTTGTGGCCCTCAGTCGTGCCAGGATCTTCTGATTGAGGGTTGTGATTCCAGGTTTTCCTTGATCATGATGTCAGTGGTCAGGAATGGGAGCTTGTGTAGTCGTGAATCGAGGATGTAGGATGTTGCTAACGGAATGTCTGGCGCAGACTTAATTATTTACAGCTTGATGATACAGCTGGAATAGTGCTGACCATGGCAGGGACAGACATGACCACTGGTCTGTCCGACTGATACTAGTAACAATCTAGACAGACTTGTTGTTTTATACCCATATCTTGTTATTATCCTCGCCATGAAGTGGAAGGGGGATATAGGAATGGGCGCTGTCCATCTGTCTGTCTGTCCGTCTGTCCATCTGTCCATCCGTCTATTTGTCACGTTTTGTTTCCGGAGCAGAACTAAAAGACCATTAGACATATCTTAACCAAACTTGGCTCATAGATAGGTCTAGTGGTGAACTGGTGCCTTTTGATAGTTAAGTATTTCTAAAAAATTATTTTTCGAGTTTCCATGGCAATGACTTTGACTTTGGGAAAATGGCAGTAGTGCTTGAAAACCTTATAATATTTCTTGCCTTGCACACAACTGGACATGTCACATTGGCGTGAGATATGAGTGTTTCATGCTTGTTTTACATAACCACTTGTCTGAAATAAGCTGTGGACAAGTTGGACTTAACATGCATGGTGTAAAACAACAATCTGAGCCCTGGTTTTTGTTGTTGTTTCTGTCCAGGGGATGAAGTACCTGCTGGAATACCTGTCGCGGGTGATCATCAAGCTGCAGCCCATCTCCAGCAGTTTGCAGCAGGGTCTCCTGGAGCGCCTCCTGTCCCACCTCACTCACCAGTCCGTACGCCAGGAGGTCCTCTCCCGCCACGGACCAGAGTCCATGGACGACTGGCCCAAGATGAGGTCCAACACCACCAAGCACCTCATCCGCTTTGTCAAGAAACTCATCAAGAGCATCAAGGCAAAGGACAAGGACAAGCAGTGAAAGAAGTGCTGTGTAGTAGTGGTGGGTGAGAGGTGATGTGTGTTGAAGACAGCGTCATGGTCAAGGTCAACTAGAAGCTGTGCAAGGACAGGCAATGAAGCAGTAGAGAAGCAGTAGGTTTACCACTGGGTAGATGGTGGTTGCCATGACAGGCAATGAAGCAGTAGGTTTACCACTGGGTAGATGGTGGTTGCCATGACAGGCAATGAAGCAGTAGAGAAGCAGTAGGTTTACCACTGGGTAGATGGTGGTTGCCAGGACAGGCAATGAAGCAGTAGAGAAGCAGTAGGTTTACCACTGGGTAGATGGTGGTTTGCCAGGACAGGCAATGAAGCAGTAGAGAAGCAGTAGGTTTACCACTGGGTAGATGGTGGTTGCCAGGACTGGCAATGAAGCAGTAGAGAAGCAGTAGGTTTACCACTGGGTTGATGGTGTTTGGTGCCAGATCATTGTCATCCTGGGCTACTGTAGTATTTGAATTTAGGGACCTAAGTATTCACCTTTTAACATAAGTGTTATGACAAGGAAGCTTGACCTTCTCTGAATTTTTAACTCTGCGTAGGGTAGTCATATAGTACAGTCAAGACAATTTGGAAACCCAACACGCAACTAGGCTTTCAGGCTTAATTTTGAACACTGAAGATGATGTGTGTTGAACACGGCATTAAGTCCATGGTCACTGAGAACAGCAAGGAAGAGTTATGAGTTGGGCATGGGCTTTGGTCCAAATTACATATGTGTTGAAGACAGCATACTGCCTGTATGTGGAGCTGTTATGAATTCTAGTCTAGTCGACACCTTTAAACCACAAGGGTATTAGTTTAAGAGGGAAACGCTTCATGGGAAACAACAAACATGACAAGTGCTTGAGCTGAACAGATCCAAGGCATCTTTCCACATTGCTACAATGTGATAGCTCATTAATGGTGTCCATCAAGTTATTTTTTTGTATCATACTTTTCGTTTGTAATATATTATTCACCTGTAAGAAACAGTCATTGGATTCCTGTATGAAGCCGACACTCTGTGTTGTGAAAATATGTACGAGTAATGTAACCACCTGTACCTCGGGGGCGTAATGTTGGAGGAGCGGTGAGATGTTCATCCGTCCATCCTGTAGTCATTGTTCATAGTAGTCATGTAGCCAGGTGTTACCGTGCTCTTTTGCATCCATGTATATATTGTTGCAGTGTCATTCAGGGCACTTAGTTGTAGCTGTACACATGAACACAAGCTTGTGGCTAGGCAGTTTGAAGTTAGCGGTGGATAAGGACACACGCTTTCATTTATTATATTTTGAGATATTTAGAAATCATTAGGGCTGGTCGTTTAAAAATTTCAAAAAATAATATAAATTTGATTTTGATTTTATTTTCTAATCAAACTTAGCAGTCAGTCATTCAGAATAAAATTAGTTCCCATTGATCTTTATTTGAAAATATCCTGACATTGTACTGACTTTGAAGTAAGTGTCAGAGTTACGATCCTGGCATATTTTTATCGCGTTTAACGGAATACATATAGTTTTGTTTTCTATATACCAGTTAATTTTTCTTTTTGACAAAATGGCTTGGCGGTTTTTCAAAATCAATTTTTGAACACCATTTTTATTTTCCCAGCTACAATCTTTTTTCTATGGTTGGCAGATCCATGGACGTGAAGAATAAAAAAGTGTTACCTAGGTGACAAACCAGTGATTGCAAATAAAATTTGTTAGTATGTCAAGATATAATTCTTACACTGTTGTCAAGCATGCTGACAGTCGAGCTAGAAAACAGTGGTATGCTCCATCACAATCCACATCATGATGGTGAAGTCTTAAAGATTAGATCATTTTTATGTAAATAAGATAATGTTGTTGACATCTAATGTGATTATGGTATAACAGGATGAGGGTAATTATGGTTCCCCAGCAAAAATGGTATTGTTACCATGGTTACACAAAATGTGATACAAAAAGTATCCGATTCCTTTGACAGTTCTGCATAATATACACATTTAAATGTCTTCTGTTTGTTGTGATATTTGTCAGTTTGTCTGGAAATCTTAAGTTTGACATGTGAATATTTTCCATGGCTATATTTAGATAATCAAGATGAAGACATCCTGTGATATCCATGTGAGTGTGTTGAAACTATGTTATTGTGTGCATGTGAGCCATCATGTAATTGTAGTAATATCTAATTATCACCGAGAAATCTTAATTATCATAAAAAATGTCTTCACCAGCCCATACTCATCGTAAGAGGCGACTAATGGGATCGGGTGAGATTGTATCCCAATTGTGTTGATCGATGCTCATGATGTCAATCACTGGATTGTCTGGTCCAGGCTTGATGATTTACAGACTGCAGTCATACCTGGATTTTTGCTGAGTGCGGTGTTAACAAATTATTGTTGTGCACACAGGCTATTGGCTGTCTGATACTAGTACATGATTTGTGTATGAGGTCTCAAAGCAAATTGGTGCACAGATTTAGATAATGTGTTGGTGGGTGTTTCTTTATTTGTTTTAGAGAAATGTGTTGATTTATTTAAATGTCTATTAAAACAATATCATGCATAGATGTTGCTGAATGTTACTTAGTCTAACATTTAGTCCAAAAGGAAAAAATATTAGTTGCCAAATTGTCATTTAATATATTATAGAAAGGGACACAGAATCTCTCTATCCTGAAATTGACACAATCTAGACTTGCCAAAATGTCGAAGACTTGCTTTGTTTTCGATATATTTATAATTGATAGAGGTTGAGTGTTAGTGTTTTATCATCTTTCCAAACCAAGGGAGTTATCTGACTATAAAAGTCCAGTTTCCACCCATGCCGAACTAGACTGGAATTTCTGGGCTCGATAGTGGCCACTATGAGTTATGTCCCTTCTATGTCCCTCATATTGACCAATCAGATTTCACCTCTCATATCACTTGCATTTGGTCCAAACAGTATGGCGGGCCCTAGTTAAGACGATCTGATCAATAATTAAAAACTATATTGTGATAAAACGGCTCTTACTTCTCGAAGTGCACCAAATCACGTGAGTAGCTTGATAAAAGATATGAAAAGATTTGGAAAATATCGTTTGACGCCGAGTTGGCGGTACACATGTTTTGCAAATTCTACAATTGATCGAAATCTGCATGGCAGTTTTTGAACCGCATGTCGATTTTGTTACATGATTTTGATTAGACTATGCACAGACTCGTCAGCCAAAATTTGACTCCATAATTCCAGCCTAGTTCGGCAGGGGTGGAAACTGGACTTTTGAAGTCAGTTATCTCCCTTGCTTAGGGAAGATGGTGTTTTGTTGGGATATATATGTTTGGTTGTGGGAAGAAAGGACAAGACAATAGCCTAGCCTTTGTTCTCGCAACAAAATGTGTTTATCCTGACAAATTTCTACTGGCCCAACTCTCTACCTATCTCAGAGCACATGGAAACACTCAAGTTCTACAAACTATACACTGCAGAATGCACAACCACCATTTACATTTGAAGAAGATTGAACAATTTCATAGAAACTGTTCGTGTAGTCAAGTATTTGTTGTTTAATGCCTGTCACGCATGAGAGTTTCACCGTATAGTTTACGGTACTTTGTCTGCAGGTAAATGTCCCCCACTGACCAAAAGAGTGACCACCAATTAGACGAAGTATTTGCCTGTGCTCTGTTTCTGGGTCTGTAGGAGAGACCTTTGTTGATGCTTCTTAGTAATGATAGTTGTTATCATAATGCGTCATGCTGAAGACCCGGGTTCGATTCCCGACATGGGTACAATGTGTGATGCCCATTTCTGGTGTCCCCCGCTGTGATATTGCTGGAATATTGCTAAAAGCGGCGTAAAACCAAACTCACTCACTCACTCACTCACTGTTATCATAATGATCACTCATTCACCATGTTCACAGATTCAATATTTGCAACGAGATTTTACTATTATACAATGGCAATTTACCTTTAATGATTGAAATATAGATATTTTCTGATAGATTCTGTTTGTGTTAACATCAGAGGAAGTCCTATGTTAATTGTTAATACATTGTTACTTGTTTCACAGGACTCCGATATACTGTTGTGTATGTGGGCAGTGGTGTAATGTGGAGAATGCAGAACTGACCTCTATTGATGTGTTGAATTCATATGAAAATATGAAATATGTTTTGATGGAGATTCATTCCAGTCTCATGGTAAACCTGAAGATTGTGGATGGGTCCATCACCAGGTTTTGGTGCTTATACATCCCCTTGTGTGGTCACAGAGTGTTATGTTTATTGGTCATCAGTCACATCCTATTACTAACTATGGTCCGCTTGCTGCAAAATCGTACCGATGAAATGCAAAATAGATATAAATCTGAAAGCAACAATTCAACTTAAATGGCATGAAAGGCATTTATTTGTCCATACCAACTCGTCACCATAGTTTCAGACATTGTAATAAAGTAGAGAAAAGGTTGTTTAACAAACGATTATGGAATTGGGTGGTGTTTCATTGTCTGTTGTTACAAAGGGGTCTGGGCAATAAACATAACAGCTAAAGGACAGCGCGGAACATAGGGGTAGTCTCAAAACTTTTATTCTGAAATAATTTCATTCAACTGAAATAAAAATTTGACTGACAATTACATGATCTAAACCATCTCTATTACAATATGAAGCTTTAGTTTCGGTCCCAACTTTGTCAGTGCGCCTCCTGCGACTTGCAATGATCATAGACGTGAAGTACCAAGGTTTTCAAATGACATGATAATTTGTTTATATCTATTTTGCATTTCATCGGTACTATTTTGCAGCAAAGGGACCACACACTTGTTACAGATGCTTGTGTTGGACGGTGCACTGAATTCAACCAAAACACATCCACATCGAGCATTTTGTTTGCATTGGGTAATGAGATATCATTTCCGATCACAGGTGGCAAATGTCACATTTATTATCATGTATCAAAAGGGCAGCAGTGTGATGATGTAATGTGTTTCAGGATGATCTAAAGGCAAGACTGGGGAATTATGGGTTTTGATATTGAAAAATTTGGTTGCTCAGGATTAAAAAACATAAAATTAATTCTTTGCCTGGTATGGGTCATTATGAATATTATAAATCTAAAATTTGACAGCAGAATTTCAGTTTTGTGGATTGGTTGGTCTGACAGTTGATTAGGGTTTGACATTAACATGACAACGCTATATTTTGCGCTGTTTGCCTTTGCAAATCTTAATTGCAGTATATTCTGGAATGGTTGGTGACTTGATGTTATTGATTCCTGAGTATAAGTTGATATATTTTGTTTATAATCATGTTTCCTAGGTGACATGGTTTTCATTTGGCAGATAGGATGAAATTATTCCATTTCTGCATTTAACATTAGAACATGATGTATATTCTTTAGGGCTGTGACGAGTCCAAATTTACTACCCAGGTACCCTATTACCCTACCCTACCGGGTACCCGCTGTAGGTCTCAGGAGATGTCTCAAAATGTTCTATTGGGAACATTTTTAGCATAGCTCTGGCAAAACATATTTAGATACATGTATCAAACAATCTGGTCATTCATACACTGAAGTTGAATTAAGTTATATCTTTATTCAACCATATGAAAAATCAGAAGGAATGGGTGCATAGTCAGAAAGAAAAGCGAACATTAATGACTTGTAGTGTAGCCATAGAGTTCCAGATAGTTTTAGTCATTAGACAATATATCACGTGACTAACCACGGGTCTGGGTAGTCCTGTGGGTACCTGGGTCCTACTCAGTACCCACCCGACCCGGGTACCCGAGTTACCCGTCCCAGCCCTAATATTCTTCTATCAGTCTTGTTTTCCTACATGGTGGCATTTCACTTTATGTGGATATTTTTGTTTTTTGTGGCACTTATCGCAGAATGTTTTTAGAGTGACCTGTCTTTTGTTGGCTACTTTGTGTACATGATAAATGAATCTCTATCCCCATATGATTTTTTATAAATGCACTGTCAGGATTGATTTTATGTTAAAAAAGAATCTGTACATCATTGAATATATGAAAACTGATACATATAAAAAAAGTAAAAATAGCCTGTAACCACATACACTGTGATATTGTAAACTGCATGTCTAATAGACACTGGGTTCATAGGCCAGAAGCCAAGGTAATCCATTCCGGGTGTATACCACGTGAACACTGAATCAGCATTGTCTAAACTTAAATAAATAAATAAATAAATAAATAAATAAATAAATAAATAAATAAATAAATAAATAAATAAATAAATAAATAAATAAATAAATAAATAAATAAATAAATAAATAAATAATGATCATATGTGTGTGTATGTATATATATGATCATGATTTATTTATTTATTAATACACACACACACACACACACACACACACACACACACACACACACACTTTATTTTAATTATCTGTAGGTTGATGGAAGTGTTTATCTTGGTTCAATGAAACGAATGAAGCAGCTGTAAAATCTCTCAAACTATCTGGCGTTTTCCTCAGAGTGGGTGAGTATCTCAAATATTGAGACATCTGTCTATTCCAGTTTAGGGAGAAGTTCAATAGATTTCAATGTTGCATAGCCCTATAACACCACCATGCCCACCCCATAATTTGGCCATATTAAATTTGTTGAATTATGTGATGTAGAAACAGAATGATACAATGTTATAATCATGACAATATGCCATGGACACACCAGACAAGTGCCATCTAGTCAGATAAATGTGCCAATATAGTACCAAGCCTTTTTTTCAGTGTTGCCATATTTCTCCATCCTCCGTCACATGTGGAAAAATGTAGATCTGTATGTTGAATGTAGGAGTGATAAACATGGTTTGACTCCAAATACAATCACTCTTCATCCAGACTGTCAAACTAGTTTCTTGTGTAAGCTTTGAACACTATTCTCGTGAAAATTAAGATGTTATATTTGTTTTGTTTCGAATAGCCTGAGGCTGAAAAATTAGGTCGGGGGAATGCTCTGAAAGAGAAGTAGGTAAGGCTATGGAAAACTATGTTTCTCATCAATTACATATTTTCAGACATTTAGATTTTTTCCTTTTTCTCTGGAAGCAAAATAATTGTCAGCATCTGTGGCAGAATCGTGTAGTCAAGGGAAGATTGCTCTTCCTTCTAGATCCCAGCACCCTTGCCATTTATAGATATACTGATATCAAGACCAGATGTTTTGCAAAACAAAACCATCATTTTATCCCTAGAATATTTTCATTATTAGATTTCTTCAAATTAATCCTTGTCATAACTCATGAATTAATATCTACAGCTTCTCTAGGATCAGGTGATTCTGTAGCTTTGTCATGGGATCAACTCTAAATTTGACAATTAGTAGATGTTCATTTGTGGATGAGGAACCTGAAATAATAAACCAGCTCCCTTGTGGTAGCCATGGTAACCATGTGTTTTGCAAGATGGTGCTGCAGTATCCATCATGTGTACCCCAGGGGGGACTCCATTAGAACTAGTCCCCAGGAACCCATGCTGGATGAATGAGGTGACAGTGGATCGAGTCATTAGACTCGGTAACTTGTTGATTGCATGTCATCGTACCAACGGGGTGGATCACTGCTCACGGTATGAATCACTAGATTGTCTGGTTCAATTACAGACCGCCGTCATATAGCTGGAATGTTGCTGAGTGCGACATTAAACAACACACTCTCAGACCATCATGTATATGTAGTGTTATGTTGATAACTGAGGTGAGCTGGTGCCCTAGTTTCATTGACAGCAACAAATCCAATTTAAAGATTTTGTATCAAGGGAGGTTTCCTTTCAGTTCAAGGGGGCACGGGTGGCCCAGTCATCTAAGGCGCTGCAGAGTTGCGTCCCTTGGGCATGCCAGAAACCTATGATTGTGGGTTCGAATCCTGGTTCGCCCCGATTATGTTTCTAGGTTTGTCAGCACCATACCCATGCTCGTGGGTTTCACCGGAGTGATAAACGTCTAAGACCTGCATCACTTCGGGCTTTCCTCCCACATTAAGCTGACATGCTTAATGTGGCTGACACGCTGATATAACTGGAATACTGTTAAAAGCGGCGTTAAACCCAACTCACTCACTTTCAGTTCAATATTGTATTTTCCAGAATCTCAAAATATACATTGATAGGATTTACAAGTGTTTTGGAATGATATATGGCTTATTTCACTTACACCCTCAGGCCTGTCAAATGATTATTTTTTTTGGTTTGGGACCCCCATTAATTTCTAATCCTGGACAGCCAAACTTTTTACTTCCATGAATGATGATAATTTGAGTAATGTTCCCGGAAATGACTTTATGTCAAGTTCCGATTTTTTGTCTTGTCAGTTATCGTTTATATTTTGTTTTGCAAATCTCAAAAGGTCCATTCAGGACTTCTTTCTTGCCAGCTGATGGATGAATATTGTACCATTTATCCATTTTTTTTATATATCTAACTTGGCAATCCTGCTTGCTACATTGTATTGATTGATGATGAGAATGATCAGGGTTTTATTCAGTATGTACAGTTGTAGAATCACTGCTTGAAGGATACATGGATTTTGTAGGTTGGAGATCAGCCCACCGCTAGTCCTATGTTGAGGAACTAGAATGTTGTCATTAGCTTAAGGCAATTAGTGTCAGAATGTTGTATTCCTGGATACAGTGAGTGATTAATCAGATTCTAAAAGAATAAATTATTGAACTTCTAATGTTGCCGTCTTTTAATACCATAACTGTTTTACGATGTTAAAAATATGTGCTTAGATGAAAAATGAGTCCAGTATTTTTCATTGTCTTTTTCATTAGATTTGGAAATGGTTTTGTTTGGGTAATTTCGGGAAACAGTTAAGTGTAGTGTGCAGTGCAGTGCAGTGCAGTGCAGGGCATTCTACAGCATACAGAAGAGCGTTTTCTGTGTCAGTAAGGGGGCGGTGGGATAGCCTTGTGGTTAAAGAGTTTGCTCGTCATGCCGAACATGGGTACAATGTGGTGCCATTTCTGGTGTCCGTCACCGGTATATTGCTCGAATATTGCTAAAAGACGTGTGAACCCATACTCAGTCACAGTGTCTGGATTGACAAGGTTTCAATGTAGCTTTGTTTCAAATTTGTTTGAAACTTTGGTCTGCATGCTCCACAGTTTAATGCATACTGCTAGGAACACATATTTTTTTCCCCGTAATTTGAGGTTGCAGGTATACCAAGTCCCAGGCACTTCCTGTCAGAGAAAAACACCACCACTATTAATTGGTGGACAGGGGACATGGTTGCATACTTTTAATAATGAAGCCACCTGATGCTTTAGTTTCTCAAAAGTCGTTGCTTGAATGATTTTTATGAAAGGATTTTAATCTAACTGAACATTAATTAACAGACCCCAAATTTCACATTTGTTGTTTATAAGTCACTGTCGTATGGCAGGAATATTGATGGGTGCAGCATTAGAAGACAAACAAACACTTGTTTATCAAAATTGTATGATTGGTGGATGCTACTGGTAGAGCAGGACATCTTTACCTTTTTTCGTGAACACCAGGTGTTGTCACTGTTTTTCAGAGATCCATTCATATAATGTTCATCACTATTTTGCTTTTATACTCAGTGGAATCTGCCTCGGCAGACTATTACGACTAATTATTCTCTAGTGGTGATGTTTTGAATTATCTCAGCATGTATAGCTAACTGTGATACTGTATTTCAAGGCCCATCCGTCCATAGATGCCTATAATATCACACTGGGTCTTTATGAAGATCTTGACTCAGGACATGTAACTGAGTTACGGTGACCGTCCTATTTATTACATTCCTAGAATATATTTATGTTTTAATATTAACTTTTTGTGAGTGCAATTAACTTCTTGCCAAATGTTTGAAATGTCATTTCATAAAATAACTAGGGTCATTTGGTATTTGTCTTTAATGTAATCCTTTTCACATTATCACTAGGGTCACTTGAATCTTGTCTTTAACAGAATTCTTTTCACATTATAACTAGGGTTACTTGAATCTTGTCTTTAACATAATCCTTTTCACATTATCACTAGGGTCACTTGAATCTTGTCTTCAACATAACCCTTTTCCTATTTTCACTGGGGGCACTTGTCAATAGTCCTTTAGATAACCATTTTCCAATTGCACTGAAAAGAACTTGTTTTTTGCCATTAACATTAACATTTCCTACCAGAAATGCCAGAATTTTACTTGGTACTTTTCTTCAATGTTAGATTTTTACTGCAAGCACAAGGTCTACTTTGTACTTGTCTCAAACAAACACTTTTTCTAACTGCACAACATGAACTTGTTATTTTGTATTTGTGTTGGCTCTTCTTATAATAGGTAAACTTGTTATTTGTCATTAGTGTAAGCTCTTTCTGACAATAGGTAAACTTGGTATTTGTCATTAATGTAGGCTCTTTCTGACGAGTGTGAGTTTGGTATTTGTCATTGAAATAAGCCTTGTCCAGGAGTGGATAATTTGATGCTGTTGTTAACAAGTGCTGTCAAATCCTTTTCCAAATAGAAAATTTG